TCAGGACACAAAATCCCGCCACTTCTCCATGACGAGTATACTCGTCAATCACAGCTAACTGTCCCTTTAGTAGTAAGACATATAAATAAATTTGCTTTTTCTCATCGCTATCACTGTATACGTCATTTCACACTATAATATAGATACAGATAGCTAAATTGTGGATCTGTACGTACATTCATATTTTTATTAACAGAATTAATGTAACGGAAGTTTTGTACAGAATTATCTCAACCTCTAAATATAATAATTCATATCCTACTTCAACTATTTCTTATATTTTTGCATATCAAGTGCATCCTCTAGTTTATTGAGAATTAAAATTTCCCATAAATGCATAAACATCCACAGTTAGCAATCACTGTATCAAGCTCTACTTAAATTATGTAAAAGATGATCGATCAAACACGCAATTATTAATAGTTAAATTAGAAGCTTAAATGAAACGTTCGAGCAACAGAACAGTATTTCCTTCGATAAAGGTTCGAGCCATCGAACGTTATATCGAGGTATCACTGTATCAGTCTCCACTTAAATCATCCGAAAGATAATTGACCAAACGCACGACTCTTAAAGATTAAATTACACGCATAAACGAGCCCGTTCGAGTAACAGTTAGCGTTCCGGATTAAAAGTAAACAGCCGTGGTCAGTTTCTGTCGACGATACTCGTTGCCCAGCCTCGTATCTCGAGCGCGTAGCCTGATTGCTCGGATTAATTGCTTAATACTTGGGTGCAGAGGATGAATATCCAGTTCCCCCGGCACGTAATATTAGGGTCAGAAGCGCGGGTTTCGACGCGTGCCAGGAGCGAGTCACGCGTACAGGGTCCGTGGTAGCCTGTGTCTTCGCGGGCCCAACGAAGGAGGAGGGGAAACCGCAAAAAGGACGCCGGTCGCGGCAAAAAGCGGGACTGGCACGAAACGGCGAGAGACTCGGAAGTTGGAAAGGCGTTCTTTGCTCTTCGTGCGGCTAATAGGCCGTTCGAGGAGGCTTCCGAGTCGCCTGTGATCCCCTCGAGATCCTAAACAAGCCGCGTTCGCGACACCCGATAACTGGATTATCGTCCACTAAGCACGTTTTACGTTTCGTGTCGCGAACCTCGATGCAAATTAAAACAGCGAGGAAAAGACAAAGAAAAAAAAACACCGGGTGAAATAGTAGAGGATCGTAAAGAGAACAGCCTATTCTTTAATTGGTCCCATTAAATCGGTAACGTTCGATATCCGCCGGCGAGCGAAAGTTACGAGGCCGTTTTACGATCGGGAGTAGCTAAAACTGCAGAAACTAATGGCGTTCTTTCGTTGCCTGGAACAACGATACGTTTCGATCTTAATCTCGGCGCTGCTCCTTCTCGCCGCGCCGCGACAATTTTATCATTACACGGGGCAGAATTGCACGCGATCCGCGAAAGATAACGCCGGCCAGAAGATGTCCTCCAGCGAGCATAGAGGTATATCGGGAACAGGTCGGTCCAGTTCTCGCAATTACGTTAAAACGACCATTACGTACCGACGTACGGCGCAATGTACCCTCTGGCTAAAAAGGGTTGGAAACTCGACGACGCCGGGCGTCGGTACGCGGTACGCTCTGGTTCGCCTCATGACCGAATAAAGATACGGAGGTCGCTCGCGACCGTGACCAAAAACGAAAGAAAGGAAGAAAGAACCGTGGGGCGTGGGGGGGCGAAAACGATCCAGGAATCGAGGGAACGATCGGCGCGTCTGCGTTTAAAACGTCGTCGCGGGGGACGCGCCGCTTAAAGAATCATAAATTCAACGATAATGATTTCCACGAGTGGCGGGCAACGCGGGATATCCGACACTATAATCTCTCGGTCTTCGATTACTCGAGGAACCTTTTTCCCTCTCCCTAGTGTTCTCTCCATTAACCGGTGTACCCTCGGGGCCCGTTTCGTACGATTCACGAAAGAAACAAAAGACCGCGGGAACAAGGGAACGCTTGCGCGTCGAAAAAAGTTAAGCAGCCGACGAAAAACGCTCGGACGCGCGTGGTGTCCGATTTCGGAAACGGTCCGGTTTTGTTGTCGTGCGCGGTCGGCCCCGGTCTGATCGGTCTCCGCGAACCGCCGCCGGGGAATCACCCGGGAGACGGTGTACGTGGAAACGACGAAGAAGGTGGACGAGGACGAGGACGGTGACGGCGATGGTGCCGACGACGATAACCGGTGGTAGTGGCCGAGGCGGCGCAGGCACACGCCATATCTGGCCAGACTATCCTACGTGGGCACCGATCCTCGACTCGGCTCGGTTCGCCTCTACCTCCTCCTCCTAACCGAGCAAACACACCTTTTTAGCGGCATTACATTAATATCGTAATGGCACGGGGATCGAGCGAGCGTAGTCGGCCAGCCCGAGGGCCCGCCGGTGCTGATTCTTAAACGACGGACGAAGAGAACCGTGGATCTCTCCTTGTTGCACCGCGACGCGGACCACGCTGAAGCCTCCCCGCGGATACGCTAACTGTCTCGCGTCCGAGTGGATCATTTGTCTTCCTCAGGGAAGAACAACTGCGCATATTGCGGGCTCCAGGGATTCTCCGTCCGGCCGGCACGAGCCACGAACCTTCTCTCCCTGTTTATCCTTGATAGATCGCAATTTCGTACCTTTGGAATACACCCTCCAAATTTCCATAGAACTCGACAGACTTTTTTTTTACGTCTTACGATCATTCTGGACCAACGACTGGACGAGTTGGATAGCATTTTAGTCGATGAAAACGATGCGTACGGTGATACCTCGATATAACGCTCGATGCCTCTAACCGTTATCGAGGGAGGTACTGTTCTGGTACTTATGAGTGTAATTTAATCCTTACTAGTTGGGTGTTTGATCGATAGTATTTTCTATGATTCGAGGAGGGCCTGATATAGTCAGATACTGCTCTGAACATATCGTTACTGTTGAATATATATTTGCTAAATAAATGCGTCAGAGTTTCGATCTAAGTGTGCATTTAATTAATCTAGTTTTATAAAACGAAAATGCTGTTCTTAGCTTGATGGTTGGGGGACAAAAAACGAGACGCTCAGAGGGTGTAATAGACGTGTGTCTTCCTCAGATAGTACTGACCTTCATAAGGGAGGGAACTGTACCAATAGATACAAATTTTCATTATAAAAATACATGCATGCAATGCTTATTCTGAACAGTTACATCAGAGGGGATAATATTTATTCGTAGATAAACAACATCGAGGAAGACACACCGAAATTTCCATAAAGCCCAATCTTTTATTTAATAATTATTTTAGACTAACGACTAGGAGAATGTAGGATGACACACTAAAATAATTTCATAGTTATAAATTGGCAAATATAACAATTTTATTTTTGTTCTTTCGGTGATTTGCAGTAGTGTCATTACGCGAGATAACATGGACGTTCGTCGAGGGATGATGTTCCAGGAATCGGTGCCTCCGCGAACAATATCGAGGGACCAGTGTATTAAAGAGCGATATCAAGAACAAGGTCGCTAAATATCCCGAGTCCGGTCGACGTAGATGCATGCAGTCCCAACGATCTAACTCAAGTATCGTATTATATATACTATCCCGACTGGTTATCGCCGGATCGACCTCGTAAACTTCGAGACGTCGGTCGGGTGGAGATTTCACGAACGCACCTAAGCCAAACGCTAAGTTGACCGCGATGAGAAAAGGGCCGCGACGCGGAGGATGTTCGGAACGACGCGGGGGCAGCGTGTTTACGGTAAAAGTCATCCAACCCGGGAGAGTATCGACCTCAACCTTCCGACGTTCGGGCGGTCCCTCCAATTTCAAGGTCGCGACGCGTGGCAGAGCGCGAGAGGAAAAAATTTCCCCGAGGTTCCCGGACTTCCGGCGTCGAAATCGGTCGGGGACGAGCCCGAACCGGGCAAGAAAAGGAGATAACTCCGAGCGGAGTTACCAAAGGGAGGGGGAGGATGAGCGCGAACCCGAACAGAACAGAACAGAAGAGAAGGGAAACGCGAAAAGAGAAGAAGTCGCCGACGAGCAAGAAGAAACAGAAGGGGGAGGAAGCAAGAAAGAACGAAGGAGTCGTACGCGCTCTCTCTGGCGTGGGGGTGCGCCCACGCCGGTGACGTCACCCGGCGAACGTTGGCAGCGTTACCGACGATCAACGCGTTGGTGTTCGAGCGGAACAAAGAGAGACGAGACCGCTGGTAAAAAAGAGAGGCATCATAACCGGCGCGTGGAGGAAGGGACACGGATCGGACGGTACGCGAAACGGACCGATGGAAGGAGGAGCGAGAAGGACGGCGCGGGTGGGCGAGGCGCGACGGGGGAAAGGAATGAATGGAAATCGCGGAGAGACACGCGGGAGAGACGGATGATTCTCGGGCGGAGAAAGACGCCGGAAGAGGAGAGAGGCGCGAGGGAAGGAGAGGGAGGGGGGTGGCGACGGTATCGAGAGTGTGCACGGGGTGAAGTCGACGACACGTGACGGCAGCGAGTCCGCAGAGGATCGTCCGTCGCCGCCACCCGCGGCAACACCACCGGCAGGAGCACCAGCAGCCTCCTCGCGCGCTCTCTCAGCGCGCGCGAGCGCTCTCTCGAGGCGAGCGACCACTTCCCGCGCGAGCCGCTCTTTATTAGTCTACCGCGGACCATCGCGAACCCCTTTGCCCCAGCGTCCACGGCGATCCTCCGCGGAGGAAAAGGAAAAACGCGAACCCCGTAGAGGCCGTATTCGTATTCGTGTTCGTGTTCGTGTTCGCGTTCGCGGCGAGATCCGGACCGGAAAACGCTCCGAGACGAACGGAGGAGACGGAGGAACGCGCGAGAGGAAGGGAGAGACCGACTCGCTCGTAGTCCGGCGCGGCAGGGGAACGACGAGTAGGAGGAGGAGGCGGAGGAGGAGGAGGAGGAGGAGGACGACGACGACGACGAAGAGCGAGAAAGAGCAGGATCCTCCAGTGATACGACACCGGGCAGCACGCGCGCCGGCACGTCGGGGTTTATCGCGCGCGGAACTGGAAACCGAAACTTCGCTCGTTCGACGGCCGCGCGATTTCGAACGCAACCGCCCTACCCGCGGGCAAGCCTTCCGGGTCAGTGAATCCCGGGGATTAACCGCGAACACGAACCAACACGGTGTGCCCGACGACGATTTTTTTGTCAACGGGACCAGAGATTTTCTCGTTCGGAACCCCCGTTTGCCGCGAGTGTCGTGCAACACACGGGCGACGGAAGTGCTCGACGCACCGCGCCCCGGTGACGTCGTGACATGTGCGATAGCCCGTCGTTATCGTCGTCGCGGTGGTCAACGTCGGGGCGAGGAAAGGGACGGCGTGCAACGGCGGTGATCGCCGGCTGGCGGGAAACGGCCGCGGGCAAGAGCACGTGGACGACAGGCACCGCGACGAGGGCCGGCGGCGCGACAGGTTGAAAAGATGCTGGCACTGGCGATGCGCCGCGAACACACGACCGGCCGCGGCAATTACGAGCCCGCGAATCCGCTCGCGGGTTTCGAGCACTTGCAGCACAACAGCGGCGGCAATCCGTTCGCGGTTGTGCCCGCCTCGTCGGAGGGCCGGCTGCGCGAGACCGGCCCGGAGACCGACGGCGAGCTGCAGGAGTTCGTAGACATCGCTCAGGTCCAGCAACTCCTCCAGCAACAGCAACAACAACAACAGCAGCAGCAGCAGCAACAGCAACAGCCCCAACACCACCACCATCATCACCAGCAACAGGTGGCGGCGGCCGCGGCCGCCTCGTGCATCTGGGGAGCGGTTTATCCACCCCCGCCGCCCGCTTTGGGATACCATCACCATCACCATCACCATCACCATCCACCGCCGCCCACCTCAGGTAACGTTTACGCGGAACACGGTGACGGATTACGAATTACGGATTACGGATCGTTCTCGTCGCTTGGTTCGCGTGGACGGTTTCGAAAAGGTGTCCCCCGTCCCCCTCCTGGTGATTTGTCGTTTGTTCTCGACTCTTATCGCAACGGAATACGTTCGCCTCGTCGAAGATGTATAACGCGCGTGGCCGGTAAGGCTTTTTTCTCGTGGATCGGGGCACCTAGGTGCGCAACGTTCCGCCGGCTACCGGTATTGGCGCCCGATCTAAACACACGGTGATAATCGATCTTTACGACCGGCACGTTGAAACCTGTATTTCAAGACCGGCTATTAAGTTTCTTGTCACCGCTCGTACCCGGCCCGGTACACCCGGTGTGAACCGCGCGAAACCTCCGACGCCGATTTTCCATTCGCCGCGATAACACGGACTACGGGATCGTAACCTACGGCTCTGTCCGTTCGCGGTTACGAACAATTCGTGGAGAACGATTTTGCTCATTGCAAACTATTATCGTTCGGAATTCTCACCGATTTGGATGATATCGAAGTATGTTGTAGATATCTATATTCCGAGTAACTTTTCTCTATATATGTTACCCCTGCTCGGGCTTCGTTTTCGAGATATATGCGAACAATTGCCGATCTTCTATAAAATGGAGGTCCAACACCACCTACAGTTTTTTGTAATTATGTCGAAAATTAAGCACGAACGGCGGTAATATGTAGAGAGAAAAGTTGCTCAGAATATTGATATCTGCAACATTGTTTAATATCATCCAAATCGGTGATTCCAAACAATAACCGCCCTTTATTTTAACACTAGAAATATCGACATTTATAGTATAATTGTACCAAAGAAATTAAAGCTATATATACGCGAACGAATATTTAATGCAATGGAAATAAGTGTTCATTCAATCTCTCATAGAAAATTAAGGCAAAATTATTGAAAATTTAGTCGAGTCAATTTTGACCACTTCCGATAGTTCTAGTGTTAACTGTCGTTGATACCCGTTGATCGAGCCCCTAAAAGACCTACCTAAATATTCTACCTAAATTTTCTATCAATTTAGATGCCACGACACCTTCGAACCTTCCACGCGACCTACGATTCGAACATAGAGTTAAGGTTCCCTGCTATTTCCCCGAATTCCCCCGATTTCGACACGATCGCTTGCACACGCACCCATTGCCCACTCGCTTGTTTTGGCTTACATTGTCACGAACCGCTCTGCTTCGCCGCGATCCACGCCGTGGCGACGGGTGGCTTCGACCACGACGCAAGTAGATCGCTATCGTGAGAAACAGCCGTCGGATCGCGATATCCACGCGCCTGGAGTCGCTCTGTTCGCTTCAAAGTGAATATCGTCCTCGTCGACGACACCATCCTTCGTAGTTCCCTTTTCGACGCGACGCGAATCAACGCCGCCGAGATCTCCGTTCGCCGTACGGTGAATGGGTAACGATAGCACTAACGATAACGTTAACTGGTGATTAATTGCGCGATTAACCCTTCGACGGCGTGGCTCCATTGTTCCTCAGGCGCGAATATACATACCTACATACGTGTTCTAATTCGACGGTTGTCGGGGGAGCGTGCCACGTGCGCGGATCGGAAAAACGAAATGTCACTGGCGGACATTTTGTGTCCAGCGACCGCTAGACTCGATTCAATCCTGATAATTTATATTGCAAATAATATTACTATACATATTTAAACAAAATATGTCTATTCACATCTTCTTTATATTTTCGTTATATCGAGATAAAATATTCAAGTGATTCGTGAAGAAAAAGACAAAAGACTCTGACAATGGATCGACAAGGGGTTAACCTAGATGTCGCAGTGGGCGGACATTTTGTGTCCTTACAACGACTACACTCGATTCAATCCTGATAATTTATATTGCAAATAATATTGTTATACATATTTAAACAAAAGACACTTATTACGCCTTGTTTCTAATTTTATTATATCGAAATGACGTATCCAAGTGATTCGCGAAGAAAAAGACAAAAAACTCTGACAATGGATCGACAAGGGGTTAACCTAGATGATGCAATGGGCGGACATTTTGTATCCAGCGACCTCTAAATTCGATTCAATCGTGATAATTTATATTGTTAATAACATTACTATACATATTTAAACAATACATAACGTATACAAGTGATTCGCGAAGAGGAAAGGTCTCTGAGAATTGGTACGATTTTGTTCAAAATGGCGGGAGTGACAGGGGGTTTAGGTAGCCGTTGCAAACGGTCGGAGGAACGGTTGTAGTTTTTGCGAGCGTTCGCGTGGGCCTGGCGGAGAGCTCGGAGACCGAGTACGCGTGCACGCGCCAGGGGTCGATGCGAAAGATAAGAGAAAAGAGGTCAGGCAACGCGGTCTTCGATCTTCCGACGCGCCGTAATGTCATTAAGGATCCCGACCGTGACGATTAATGAAAGAGGCTCGATCGTCAGTGGCGTAAAAAGCCGGCGAAACGAAACCGCCACGGCGGTGAAGACAATCGTACCCACCGAAATAGAAACGCGACGGACACCTTTTTAATTTCGAGCCTGAACGCGGCGTTTCACGGCGACGCGTTTCAAAGCAGAGTCCCTTTCGAAACTGCCACAGGACCGTTCCGGGTGGCCTTTTGTGGTCCACTGTTCTCCTCTCGACGAGATTACGACACTTTGGAAATTTCTATGCTCCTTCGAGAGATCCTCGAAATTTCAAACTTCACTTCATCTGGGGATTCTGAAAATTGACTTTTCAATTACGTTAATTTCGGTTGGGAATCTTGCTTATGATATATTGCAATTCGAATATTTCTGTTATAGTTATATTTTTGTTACTTTGTAGTTTCCTTCGTTGTATTATAATTAATAGAATATCTTTGGACGAGAGTAAATGTTCAAGATGGCTTCCAACGTTCTATCGATTTATATCGAACGGAAATTTTAATTATTTTTTATTTAGAAGATGACAGAAAATATTTATACAATTATATTAGACAGTATTGGGGGTCTCTAGACGGATAGGAATATTGTTTAAATATTATAAAAAATATTGGCGAGTACTTGAAACGTCTACTGCGTTATCCATTGTCTACTACAGTCTCTAATAAATACAAACATTAAAAAATTCCATTATTATTGTAATATTGCAATGAAAATGGCAAAGGTGCTAAGGGAGAACGATTAGAGGTTTTCCAAGTAACTTTGTCGCGATATTTGCCTTTCCAAGGCGTCGAGGGAAGAATGACCAGCGTTTGGTGAACAGTTTTGACATTCGAGCGTAGATTATGTATTCTCGGTGGCCCCTGTCGAGGCGTAGGGCTCGACGCCGTTGGCCTGAATTCGTACGAAAAGAAAGATTGGAAGACCGGAGCGATCCCCCTCCAAGAAAAAACGATTAGAAGAGCGGAGGATCGTTGTAGTCGGACCACGCCTAAGCTATCCTTCGTACATAAATGGAATTATTCGTCCCTGCGTCGGGGCCATCGGACACGGCAGATCCACGAATCTTTATTCGAGTTCCACGGGGGTATTTCTGGCGGGGATCACCCTTTCCCTCGTCATCTTTATCATGTAAAATACTAAAAAAGAACGCACCCAGAAACTCGAATATATTTCTCACCCACACCAACAAACTTTGCACGTTATCGACTCGTGTATTTTCAATGCTATTAACGCCAGAACCACCGACAATTATAGTCTATTTATTTATATCAAAGAAATTAAATTATTCGAGTCGAGTAAATTATTTACGAGTTTCATTAGAAATTACTAATGAATCATTTTGATTGCTTTAATAGTTTCATTGTTAATTGTTGCTTGTCGTGAGAATTTTGACAGAGAATTTTGGTCCACTAAAAGTTTTGTAACCGTAAGGAAATTGATTAAATTATTCGAGTCGAGTAAATTATTTACAAGTTTCATTAGAAATTACTAATGAATCATTTTGACTGCTTTGGTAGTTTTACTGTTAATTGTTGCTTGTCGTGAGAATTTTGACAGGGAATCTCGATCCACTAATAGTTTTGTAACCGTAAGGAAATTGATAGAATCGAATTCTCGGGGATCGGTAATGGCGGCCGGAATTCCTACGGCGGTGTTTCCCAGCGAGATCGCAAGTAGCCAATAAGATAGAGGAATTTTTTTTCTCCCCTCGGGTTCGTCAGAAGGGGGTGAGGAGGCAGGAGCTTTCATAGATCATTGTTTAAAGTGTCGTGTCTTTGTATGGTAACGCGGAGTAAATCGTATGTACACTCCTGACATTTCGTTATTATTGTACGGAGCCGTAAGACAGGAAATCGTACATCATGCACGAACCTACGGTGGGCGGGTAAAAGGGAACGAGTCACCTTCTTCTCTCGGGCGTTCGGCTCATTGGCGTTCCGCGCGATGTTAAGTGTTTTATACGCCCTCCGTCTTTCCCTCTTCGGCCCCTTTCTTCCCTCAGAATATTGTAAATTCGTCGTTTTTCTGCCCAGCGTGCTATACATTTACGTTTTCGCGATTCCACCAAAGACTCTTTTGATCACAACAAACAACGTCAAACTACCCTAACAAACCTACATCGGTGATTGTTTCAAACATGAGATACAAAAATTACAGTGATATTTTTCGTTAATATGTTTTATAAGATTCTAAGGGAAATCGAACAAAATAATTATTGTAAGTACAAACGATGTATGCAATCATTGAATCAGGGGCGCCAGGGCTCCATTAATACGCGTTATTTGCCTCTTTAATCATTAAAATCCTTAAAAGTTACGAGGTTTTAAAGATATTTCTGGCCTGAAATTATATTTTCGGTAAGGAATTTTTTTCTCGGAAATGGTTAGGATTTCGAGGGTATGTCTATTGACCAAAAATAATTGTAATTCACCCCTGCACCCAAGAGTAATTTTTTTAGAATAATTTGAAAATTTTAATTTTCTCGAAAAATGTCACACCATCTCGAATTTTTTTCTCGGAAATGGTTAGGATTTCGAGGATATGTCTATT